TTTACTTTAGACAGAACTTTATTTTTAATATTCGTCATTTCTGAAGTGGAGAGGAGCACCGAGCGGACTGATCGGAGTAAACCCCAGTCAGTCTGCCTGCTGGCATTAATCATATTAATCGTCAAGTGCCAAAAAGTAATCGATTAATGTTTTTCTCACGATTAATTGCACACTATACGATTATGCCCAACCCTATCGAGTGGTTGAAGCAAATGCAGCATCTGAGCACTTTCAACACAAACGTTCCCACGAACTTCTGACCAATCACACCATATAGTTTGTATGTGTTCTTATGTGGAGGGGTTGAAAAGTTTGACACRCGGGTTGCGACAAGAAGTGCAGAAATGTCGGCAATGCGAACAGAAATAAACGCAATTTTCGTCACGAAACTGTGACAATTCGGCAGCAGCATGCTGGAGCCTTTAAAAAGAATCAATCCACCCATTGAATTACTTTACACCCCACCCCCTCCAGCTTCCAGAGTGGTTCATTCCAGTTTGATAGGAGTTTTTAACTATATAGCGGCACAGGCACTTTACTTGCAAATTTATTAAAATATGTCAACAACAGAAGACTTGTCCATCCAACCTTACATATTGAGGCCAGAGTCTGACTCAGAGCCAGAGGAGAATTAAGATGACCAAAYTGTAGTTGGTAAATCCAGACCTTATTTGGAAGTTCCGCCGCAAGTACTGTGACATAACAGTTCAGAAGACGTCCAAAAATAGAGAAAACGGAACACGTTGAAAAATATGACAAAATTTGAATTTGGGCAAAACTGAATGGTGTGCAATGAATTTTCAGAATAACTGTCAACAATTATTATTTGCYACTTTGTAATTACTGCAATTAGTGCAACATGACCTATTTTTGTGWGCGATGCACTCTCACTATCAAGCGCACGTCTGAGCCTTTGGCATATTGAGTTAAAATATGCTGCCACTCCACATTGGTGAAAAAGTGGGTTTCAATTCACAGCTTACTAATTTAATCAGGTAAAATGAAAAAAGTTAGTTTGACTGAAGATTCTAATTATATCAATAATTTTTATCCATTTATCGTTTTTGGCTATAATGCCACAACTAATCGTGATAACCTTTTTTTTTTTTGCTAATATCGCCCAACCCTACTACTTCCCATTACACATGATTAAGTGGTGATGTGATTGCAGCATACTCAGGGGTCTTGAGTGGAGCATGTTGTGGGCACACTGGTAAAGCTTGGTCATCACTGGGCATCATGGAACATAGGCTATGATCATCATGTGATGTGATAATAACAGTTGTGCTGATTTACTCTGACATAATCCAACAGTCTTGCCATGACGGAGTGTGAGATCATCTTTGAGTAGGWAAAATCTATTTGACAGGTACAGAGAGAGCAGCAGGGTCTACGGACGGAAAGTGGTTTTCAAAATTTTGAAATCAATTTAAAATGGGCAGATTTGAAGGACTAATGGAACAGCCACAACTAACTTTTTATTGTTTACACTGGCACCTGGYAATGACATGGCATCTTGTTTCCTTGTAGTGCTTTACTGACTGGTAAAGCACTGCTACAGTCACCTTTTGACACAACATATACTTCTCACATCTCTCCACAAAAAATAAATATAACACAGAGTCTTTCATCCATCATATTTTATTTTGAAAGTATTATAAAGTGAACTGTATACCGGTAATCAGAGGTGAGYTCAGCTTCACTGTATGGATGTGTTTGAGAGTCAATGGACTGAAATCAGCTCTTTATCACAGCAGAGGGAAACGTGTGCAAACAGTAAACAGAGCATTAGAAATAAGTATTTCTGTTTTGGGCACAAATCCAAGGATTGTACAAAAAAAAAACTCTTTGGGAAAAAATTATTAACTGGCAGATCTAATGTGAAGTTATCTTTTAAAGCTGTTTATAAAAAATTCAAAACATCCTTTAAAAAGGGAGCTAATCTGGTAAAAAAAAAGAAATAATCAAAATGTCCAAAGCCTGAAATGACAGCTGTTAAAATGGAATTCAGCTTTAATTAATTTTATTACTTGCACCTGTTGTGRCATGCCTTCTATGTTGCAACCTTTTCTAAATTGTTTTGTCTGCTTGTCTCCCTCTCGGGCAAAAAAACAGACTTCTGATCTCATGTGACTTTCACACGTAAAAAGTCGTAAACTCGTAAAGCGGCATTTATGAATCGGTCACCACGGTCAAGGTGTTTGTCTGAAGCTAACCCCTTTATTGACACCGTACTACTGCAAAAAGCAGCTCATCCATGCAATAAAATCAGATTTTTCACAGCTTACAAATCTCTTTTGCACATATAAAACCCACGGCTGATCTGTGCAAACAACTTCAGAAACACACGAAGGCACGTTGCAGCTTGCCGTCTTGAACTGTGGTTTGTTTAGGCATCCCTTCATAATAGGTGCAGCACAGTGCAGCCATGTTCCTCTGTGTTACTTCACCCCCACCTCCACCCGCTGAACTCATTCAGCACGAATCAGTTGATTTCACTGCTGACCCGCAGAGAGAAGAAGAGCAGCCCGGTCCGCTCTGTCTCTCATTATCTGCTGCCTGTTCGTCAAACTAACCGCAGCCAGAGAAGAATACCTGCGTTCCCTTTTGAAGTCCGTGCCCGAGCTACAGTAAATTATTAGCGATCCAGCTACACAGCTCCAGGCCCTCAGGACACCCTCAGGCTGTTCCAACTGTGGGTGCCTCTACCTGTCATTCCAGCTGCTGGGCACCTTTCATTGAGGCTGACAAGAATTGTTACTACCCATGTTTAATCGTCCTACCCACCCTCTCACATGCGGTGGATGTGGGTGAGTTTACGTAGGCCTAAAACAATAGAAGAGCAAGAGATGGGGAAGCAAAAAAAAAAAAGGGGGGGGGGCACAGCAGCCCAGCTGAAATAGCCAACATTCCTTTAACAGGAAGAGAAGGTAGCCTTTGGGCTCGAGACAAGCCTGCACTTGCAGAGAGAGAGAGAGAGAGAGATGACAAGTGCGGTGCTCCTCTCGTCTAACAGAGCGTAACAGGAAGTGGCAAGGCCTGCTTCACATGGGGCCTCTTGGGTGCAGCAGCAGCAGCGCCTGGCTGGGAACACGTCATGGTCTCCAAAAAAAAAAAAAAAAAACCACCAGCTGCAACGCCCTTAACACACAGCATCTAACAACGAGCAAGACTAAACCCTATGAGCACTCCGAGGAATTTATTTTGTGACACGTGCTCTGACAAAATTCAAGTTTGTGGATGAAAGCGTGCACACACTAAGACAAACTTTTTGTTTGTTTGTTTGTTTTAGGTGCAGTTATTCAAAACTGAACCAGCATCACATGTTTAGCCTCTGGGAGCAGCAGGATCATGAAGCCGCTGTAGCTGTGCAGTAATAACAGCTTCCTGCGAACACAGGAAACGCTCAGCAGWGTCCTCTGGTCCACAAGGGAAAAAAATCACCATTGGAAATCAATTATGTGCAGACACTAATTATTGAACTCTGTCTACATTGAAGCGTCCACTCCATRTTGTCTGATTTAATGAGTGAGAGGTCCAGAGGAGGAGGAGGGTGGCTTGAGATTGGCTACTTAAAGCTCTGTGCACAAACAGGGTTGGCAAATGAGAGAGAGAGAAAAAAGATGAACAGATGTGGCAAAGGTTAGCACGGCTTATTTTTAAGACTGACAATAGCTAAAGGGGTTACAGTGAATGAAAACATAATGGACGCCTTTTTCTTTCTCTGAGAAACAACCAAACTACTTAGGACTTGGCTCCCTGGAGGCCTAAACAGGCAGATCAGAGGAAATGATTTATTCCATGCAGCTCAGTGATGGCCCACAATCAGCCAGAGAGCACTGACTCAACTTAMACTTTGCATGCCTCTTAATTCATCAGTCTGGATTTTCCAAATCCGCTGCAAACTCCAACACYTCAGAACCCAACCGTGCTGTATTGCAGTGGTTCCCAAAGTTGGGGTCGGGACCCAAAGTGGGGTCCTGAAACATCAAGGTGGGGTTCTGAAAAGATTTTCTAAATTAATTACATTTTTGCCTTAGTTGCCTAAAATGTATGAATGTAGAATAATAAATATTGTTACTATGCCCATGTTTAGTTGACCTGATAACAAATGTTTATCATCCAAAAATAGTTGTGGGCACAGGTCTCTGCTGCTGTTATTTTATGGGTCAAAAGCTGAAAAGTTTGGGAACCACTGCACTTCAGAAATCAATTTAAAGTGGAATAAAATAATTGGTGATGTAATATTTTCCCTATAATTATTACAAAAACACAAAATGAGTATAAATACTTATTTATATTTGTGTAGCCTTTGTTTTTAGGGTTAATAACAAAGTTTGTGTACTCAGACTAGTAATATTTGGGGTCACAAGTTTTTGCCATGAACATTTTGTGGGTCAGAAGATAAAAAGTTTGGGAACCACTGCTGTATTGGACCTTTTTTTTTATTATTTATGTGAAGCAGAGATGTGTTTTCGCTTCAGTCTGGAAAAAGGGCGATGAAAAACACAGATTTCACAAGGTCACCTGCAATAAACCAAGCACTGACAGCCTATTACACAACATAACTCCCCTCGGGAAKATTGAACTGATTTGTAGTTCGAGATAAAACCACAAAACGGGGTCCGCATAAATCCTGCACGGCTCAGAAACACAACTTCTCTGCTACCTGAAGTTTCACCAGCCTGTCTGCAAACTCAACACTTCTGACACACCGTCCAAACTGCTCAAAAGAAGCACACTTTCTGCCTGAGGGGTAAAAAAAATGAAAAACGGTGGTAAATTAAGTCCTTAAACCGCTCCAGCTCTGAGAGGAGAAGCCACAGCCGAGCACAGCATTCCTGTATGCGGCCGCTACCGTGTGGAGCTGTGGGGGGAACTTAAGCCCGTTCGTCTCGGTGAAACAGCTCTACGTGACTTTAAATATGCCCCACGAAGCAAAAAAACACTCCCAACAACTCCTTACATTCGCTATAGTTGTGTTAAAACGACGTACTCACCCGTGAAAACCGAGAAAACGACGGGCGAAGCGTCTATGGGTTTCCTGCTCGAAAGTTGCCGTGTGTCAGTGGGAGAGAGGAAAAAAAATAGTACGCGGAAGTACACATAAAAAAAAAACGCCAAGGGGAACGAGCGGCGACTAAAAAGTAGCAATTTATTTACTGTAAATGGTCGAGTCCGCTTCGCTCTGTGTTATTATGAAAGTGACAACAATGTATTTTCCTCGTTTCGGTGCGTTTTGCAGCTTAAAAGTGGAATTAAAAGCAGGGTTTGCGGTTTGTTTCCGCGCTGTGTTACACAGTAAGGCGTCCCCTCTGTCCCACTGAGCCGCCTGCGACTTTTCCCAGTAAAACCTACATTTACAGGCCTCACAGGTGCTGTGATAAAAATCAGAAACATCGACACAAGGTAGCATTTGTGGGAAAAAAAATTGCTAAATGACTTAAAAGCTACCAACTAATAATAATGGATTTAAAATCTTTATATCTCTTTCCACATCTTTAGTAGTTGTTCTAATTGAATTTTGCACATAATTGAAAGCCTTTCGGTCAGTTTAGAGTTCATTTGAATGTACTTAAATATAAGTTTATCATGTGAGATCTTTGTCTCAAATGCTCTTTTGGACTGTTTGAACAGATGTTTCCAAAGTTAAGGGCTCAGATCCAAAATCCCCCCGTTTCTTGCTCAGGTGTTCTTGCTAATTGTGTCGTTTTGGYGCCACCTTGTGGACAAACGTCGTCACAACGCCTCCAATTAAATGCTACAATGCAGCTGTGGAAAAGTGCTGCCCAGGGACACCCTGTATTTAAACTAGTGAGCTGCTATATGTGCAGAAAACAAGACAAATTCCAAATAGATTTAAAATGCACGCAGTTTGTAAAAAAAAAAAAAACCAAAGCAAAACTTTGAAAGTTAAGAACTATTTGAATGAGTTATTGAACTTTCAGGTGTCTGATTTGTTGTTCGTGAAAAAATATTTCAGGCTTCTATTTTAGGATATGCATGTAAAACAACAACAACAACAACAACAACAACAACAACAACAACAACAACAACAACAACAAAATACAGAATATTTTCTTTGTATTATATAGACTATATTCATTTTTTTTATTATTTTTATTTTTGTCAGTACAAGCTTAAAGTGAATTAATGTTATAAAGTGTTGGGAGTTTTATTTGCATATAAATGTTCAGTAATATTTTAGAATAAGTACGTTTAGGACCCCTTTACAG